GCTACAGATTGCTTCTGAAGTATGTCACATTTATTTATAAATTTGACAAAAACCTTTGAGTTAAATATAAATTTATTTCCATGAGTAATTTCTTATCTGTAGTTGACTCGTGCTTTAGTAAAATGGTTAAAACATTAGTTTTATTGTTTTCAGTTTTATGTGAACATTAGCGCTTATGTATCAAATAAATTAAAAATGAAGTTATAAAATATTTGTTTCTTGTCACTATACTGAATAAAAAGTAAAGAAAAAGGCAAATTATAATAAGCTAATTATAAATGACTATTTATAAGATACACTATATATAAGATTATAAATCCTTACTAAGCTGTCAGTAAGATGTAGACAATTTTATCTGGCTGAGTATTTTACATTTCTTTGCAGTTGTGAGGCTGCATTTCTTTAACATAGATATCTGGGGCTAGTTATAAGACTTAGTAGGTGGAGGCATTTGCGACCAAGCCTAACAAGTTGAGTTTATTCCTAGTTATCTATTAAAGCAGAAAGAGAAAACTGACTTCTGCAAGTTGTTTTCTGGCCTCTATACATAGTATGCTGTAGCACGTGTACACCCACATACATGTTTACCTTAAAAATAAACGCAGCTAATTAAACAAGAGCTACAATCACACACAGGATTATTTAGTAACCAAGAAGTCTAGCTATACCTGGAGTAATCTTCCTCTTTTGGGTTACTTAAACTGGGTTACTGAGGAACTCTATGACATGACATGACTCTACCATCTTGAAATCGGAGAGACTGTGATTACCTGAACAAGACTCTCCCATAATCTTCCCCTTATCTTACAGAAGAGAGGAGGGCTCCACAAGGCAGTGTACCAGATGCCTGAAACCCCCGTCCCTCGCAAGGATTTATATACACGTGAGAGTTGTGTGAGTGCCAGGTGGGAAAGCTTTTCTTCTGGGACATAGCAGTTTCCTATAAGCCAGTATGGAACTCCTCATTCATATGCTTGTTTATAACAAAACTAAACTACTGGTTCGTCGAGGTAGACTTGTGTGAAAGTTACCTTGAAATGTAGTTGGTACCCTATCTGCGGTAAACAGACATTTGTTCATTATCTCCCCAGGGAATCTGATACAACACAGGGTCTTACATAGTCCAGGCTGACTTGTCATACAGCTCAGGACAACCTGAACTCCTGATCTTCCTGTTTCTATCTTGTAAGGACAATTCAGATATATGCCATTAAGCCTGGTTTAACATTTTTTTTTTTTAAATGCAGAGCTTGTGTTAAAAGGAAGCATTGGGAATACTTTTTAAAAACTAACAATGTCAGCTGAAATACACAAAATATTTTTAAATAAACAGTAAATTATGAGAAATGTTACCAAGATACCAAAATGTTTGATAAAGGCCAAGGAAGACTTAAAAATTACATAGCTTTGTCCTGAACAATTTTGCTGATTTTAACTGACATGTAGAGATACAGAATCATGGTTTCTGTAATCAAGAGGAAACTGGTGAAAAAGAGGTCATACTCAAAGGCTTAATTCGCATTAGGCCAAGACCCTGGAAGACTTCACTCTGAGAGTGAGAATGGATAAAAGAAAGCTACAGGTATGAGTCTTATTTCAGAGTCCCTTAGATAAAAACACGGGGGTTAGGTCAGTCCTTCACTGGTATAGTACCTCAGTCCTTAGCAGAAAGAAAGAACATTCTCTCTGTAAAAAAGTATTATGGGCTTTGACAAAATGTTAGAACTAGTTATTAAAATAGATTGTAAATGATATAAATGAGAAAATAAACTAGAAAGGAAAAACACTTCATAGGAGACCAAAGAAATAATAAAAATCCATAGGGATTTCTCACATAATAATAATAATAATAATAATAATAATAATAATAATAATAATAATAATAATAACAACAACAACAACTGTTACTATAATGTTCAAAGCAAAAAAAACGAAACTTTTGTAGTCAATTAAAAACCACAAAAAAGAATATATCACAGCAGGAAATATAAAAGATCCAAAACTATGAAGTGCAAAAACTAAAAATACAGTCAAAATGTTTAGCAATATAGTAGACACAGCTGAAAAGAATTAGTAAACTAAAAATTTGATAAAAACACATTAGCTATTTTGAAAGCACAGAAAAGCACCCCCAACTTCTTGTAAAAATGCAAGACCAAAATAAGTAGCGTTAAGTTTAACAAACTTAACTAGAGACCACATGGGATTTCGCTCTTTAAGAATCAGTTTACTACTAGAGCTGTCTGCCCTAACAAACTTCTCTGTTTACTGCCCCCAAAGAACGTATTACATAACTGCTAGCTATGGCATCTTAATTACTAGTTAGGATGGCACTTCAAGCATGAAAAGTAGGGTGGCATTACCACATACTAAACAAAGCTGTTTAAACAAAAAATGAAGAAAACCTACAAAGCAGATTATGCTTGAACTAGCTGATGACAGAGAATATTGTAAATCATTGTGAAAACACATTCTTGCAACCTGATTTCCTTTACAGCTAAAAAGAAATGGTTAATAAATTCTAGAAAAGAGAAAACCACAATATTTCACTATAACTTACTATTAGAAATTATCAGACAAGCACAGCTAAAACTAAAAAAAAAACAAAAAAAAAAAACAACAACAACAAACCCAAAACAAACAAACAAATAAATAAACCCAAATTAAATTCACAGAACAGGACAGCATCATTTACAAATCCTAGAATGCATTTCTCCTGAGGGCTGGGAAGACTGGATGGTGGTAAGACTGAAAGAAAGATGGCTAGCATGCTTTCAATCATTTGTACTACATAGGAAAAGAGAAATCACATTTAACAGAAAAAAAACCCCCACACTATTTAAAAAAATAATCACAGCCTCAAAGTATTAAATAAATGAAATGAAGGTCAATTGTACTCAAAGGTAATTTCTACTAAATACAAGTATTAGAAACAATGACTAAAAAGGAAAATAGCCAAACATCAGGAGAGATAAACAAGAGATTAAAGGGAATAATTAAAAAGTGTGAAGTTAATGACATATTAAAAAATTAGGCATTAAGGCACCAAAAGCAGATTATTCTGAAAGGTATACATGATGTGCTCAAAATGTTTTCTTTATACCCTCACATAACTTTACTCCACAAAATGCTCTGCAGTTTTCCTCCTCTACCTAACTCTGATAACAATGTATAATGGGAACCGTTCCTTGTCAGGCTACCTACACTAAATTCACCTTGTTATATAATTACACAGAACACCACAGAAGCATGCCATTTCACTGTTGACTAAGAAAAGACCTAGAGGAACATGCTTCTCCTGCCCTCATATAATTAGGTACACTTCTAAACATGCACTCATCTCTACATGTACAAACACTGACTTAGAATATCTAGTTACTGCATTTTAAACAGATTTCCGAACTTGCTTCTTATGGAGGATATTCAACATAATAAATTATTTGTAACTTTTAGCAGTAGAGAGATAGAAATGATAGCCCAATTCAGTTAAGAAACATAGTATGGTAAAGACTAGATCAGTGCCTGGGTTTTGAAGATTAAGAAACATAATTTTTTTTTTGCAAAATTGAAACTTTTATTTAGCATTTGTAACTTATTTTCCACTCACAATATCATAAGAATCATAGTTCTACTTCACAGGACATTGTAAGTAATAAATATAAAAAAGTATAATAGTGTTTACAAGAGAAGCTAGGATAATGTTTGAGAGAAGTATAAAATGTCACAAATTTTAAATTTTTCCTGTTTAATGAATAGATTAAATATTTCAAAGTATTTCTATGTTTTTGCCTACATGTTACCATTTAATAATCTGTTTTCATTTCCTAACTTGGTTTATAGTTTTATTTGTTAGCAGGACATATTTGTATTAAGAAAAAAAAAATTTTAGTGTGTATTTTCTATTGCAATGTGTTACTCAGGTGTATCCGTACTTTTTAATTTTTTTTAATGATATAGTTCAACTAAAAGTGCCTGGACAGTCATCATTAATTCTTGGTGATGTGTTTTTCCTTAAGATCTTTCAGCACATCTTTCAATTATATTCATTTATATTTTTTATGATAAAGTTTCATATTTTACTACTCTTAATGTTCCAGGGTATTCTGAAAATAATTAATACATTCTAATCAATGCATTATAAAGTTCAATGCCAGGTAAAAACTACTTATGTATGTGGAAATGTTTCAGTAAGTACCAACATCTTTAAATTTTAAACACAAGCAAAACTTTTTATTGTGGCACTCTCCGAAACTGCACAGATTAACGTTTTTATTATAAGTTCTGCTTTTTCAGATTATTTTTCTGTATTGATTTATTTACCACTTACTTTGCGCCCTGGTTGCAGTCCTCTCATTTTCCCCAGTCCCTCATCATGGACTGATTTTTTTTTTAAAGCACCATTTTCATTAAAAAGTGGAATGTATAAAAACAAAACATTCAGAATGCTAACTACAGACTTCACAATATTGGATAAATAACTGCTCCTAGATATTATGCCTAAATGAGATATGGAGAAGAATCTACCCTCAAAGGATTGCTACAAGTAGATAAACTATGTAGCAAAAAGTTAGGCTCAAACTTTTTCAAGGAATTCAAACTACAAAAGAAAGAGGACAACATTATACAATATCAAAAGACAAAATTCCACCAGTATCTGCTCCTTTGATTGCTTTCATGACATACCATAGATTCCAAAACATACAGTTCCCAAAACTGACAGATGCTCAAGACTCTTATGTAAAATACTATGATGCCTGCATATACTTTAGATCCTCCCATAGCTTCAAATCAATTGAATACAATCTAAATGTTATGCACATAATTGCTACACTGTTGAGGTAATAATGACAAGAAAATCTGCACATGTTCAGTAGACATGAAACATTTTCTCAACATTTTTATATGTACTGGTGAAACCGTAGCTGTGAAACCTACAGATAAAGAGAGCTAACTGTGCTTTTTCTACAGACTATATACTTTTGTATACTAATTCTACTTACGTCATTAGATTTGCATTTTTCCTTGTGAGAATATATAGTCCATTCCAAAAGCATATTTACTGGTTTTGTCAAAAGTCCTGAATTTTCACTTCCTGACCAAAAGATTTCATGAAGAACTGCCTTTTCTGTTACATTTAGACTCTGAGAATCTGACCAGTCACACAACCTAAAGAAAATATAGACCAAAATCAAGTTATGATTCCAATTTAATCATGTAGTTATTAGAGCCATTTTGACAGGACAAGAATGCTGGGCAATTTTGAGGTGATCTATATAAAGATTACAAGATGATACACAACTATAATAAAGGACAAAATGTTAAAAAATGGCCTCATGAGCGGGCTATATCAATTTAAGGAGGCGTTGTGGAGGTCACGTGGAGTCCAGTGCTGGAGAGGGAGAGACAGGCAGGTCCTTGGGGCTTGTTGTCACTGCTCTGTGAGCACCAGGACAATGACAGACCCCCGTCTTAATAAGCAAAATGGAGACTTCTGAGAAACGACTCTCAGGATATCTCTACACATGTGCACTGACACACACAGAAAAACAGAGAAAATGGTCACAGTTCAATAAAGTCAGTGCTGTATACACGCTTTACATGGTGTTTAGAAATATACATAACTTCACACAATCTTCCCAATAAAGAGTAAGAAAAATATGAACTGAGAGAAAAGGGATATAAGCAAAATACTGCCAGTGGCTGGATTTAAAAATTCAAAGAAAACCTACGCAAAATAAAAAGTAGGAGACTTTTTAAAGTATACATACATATATATTAATATATTAGATAGAATACATATCAATATATTAATGTTTAATATCCATTAACATATTAAACATAAAACAACCAAAGTAGAGAAAGGTGTTTGTGATTAACACTTACTTTTGACTCAAATGACGTACTTCACTTTCAAGTAAATTAAAAAAAAACTTGAGTAATGTAAGATGGACCACCTTAGAACCAGTATTTTCTGATATTTGATGGCAGAAACTTTCATTAAAAAGACAAGACCTGAAAAAATGTATTTCATAAAATAAATTTACTGAAAAATTTGTGGACAAAATATTTCTTTTTAAGATTACTTTCACAATTTTAACAAAAGCAAGTTTAACAAAATTTTATTAATATTTTCGTTCTTTCAATTTAAATCACGTCTAATATAAAAGATTTACTTCTTAACACAAACCTAGTTTTTCTGGTCTCAATGTTAATATTTAACAACTATCAGTACTCTCTTCTTGTTCATTTCACAGATTAAAAATAAAGATTCCGAAATTTCATCAAGTCCTTTTGATGCAAAATATGAAGTATAATTTTAGTTTATAATACTAATTACAGTAGCCTTCCTTACTCATAATTATTTTCATCTCCATTATTTAATAAAGGAGGGTAAATGGCTTCATAGTTTGTTTCCAAAGTTCAGTATTTTATTTGCATCTTCTGTCATAATCATGTACAGCAGAACTTTCAATGATAATTGCTATGCTCTACTACACACCTCAAGTTAGTTTGTATACTTGAGGAAAGAGTTGGTTAGTAGAGTTTTACAGTATCCACACGCAAGCTTGTACACACTTATAAAATGAACAAATTTCTTGAATTTGTTATACGTGGATGTTTCTGCCTTCATGCATACCTGTGCAACTATCTGTAACTATGGGAGGTCAGAAGAAGGTAAGGGGATCAGATCCCCTGGAACGGAAGTTACAAAGGGTTGTGAACTGAGTTTCTGAACTCCTAAGCCATCTATCTCTCTAGATCCTGCTGTATATTTTTAAAGAGAAGGTAAAACCAATAATAAATGGATAGTTACACATGATATTCATTATTAATTTCACATTTCTTATCAATTATATCAACAATGAATCTGTTGCTTTCTATTTGTGCATCCAGTTTTCTTGTTTTTGTGTGTTAATGTGCAGATGTGTTCGTGTGCATGTGGAGATCAGAGGTTGATGTCAGCTTTCTTCCTCAATCATTGACACCTTATTTTTGAAATAGGGACTGTTAGTGAACCCAGACCTCACTGATTAAGCAAGTCTCACTAATTCTGTCTTTGCCTCTCCAGTGCTAGGATTATAGGTGCATTGGAATCACACCAGCTTTTTAAAACTGAACACAGGGTCTCATCCTCAGGTGGCAAGCACTTTGCTGACACAGGCTCAAGTGTTAATAATATATATGAAGCAAAAGGACTAATACTCAGCTCATTTATACTCATTACTCTTCTAGATCCTTCTTCCACTTATTTTGCCAAAAAACCTGGGTATATTCTCAGGAAATATACAAAGATCTAACCTTTGCCTAGTTTCTCTTTTTTCCCTTATATGAAGGACATTTGTGACTATGGAAAGAAATATTCCCAATAAAATAATACTATCAAATAGTTATAGTAGAAATCATAAAATAAGAATTAGTTTAGTTAGTGAAAAGAAAACAGGAAAGAGTTCTGGAAACACTCTGAAAACAAAGGAAGGCCTAGAGAAGTGACACAGAAAGAGTAATGAAATATCTGAAAAACAGTAAGTCTGGTTAGAAATTCTGTTTTCTATAGTAACATAAAGCCTTAAACTAGAAATTACATATGCTGACAAATATTTATGATGTTTATGAGTAAAATTTAATACTTATATTTAATATTTTTTCTTTGAAAAATATACAAATTCATAACTTTGGAAAAAATCTGATATTATTCTAAGTCTATTTTGTATACTTACAGTTTTTAAGATATTGACAAACATGATCAACATAAGGTTTGTCCTTTTTGTAAGTTTTATAATATAAAACATTATAGCATATAGATAATATAGCATTTATATTTTTTCTAAAAGAAAAATACACTTTTTAAAATTAGTCTCTAAAAAACAGTAGAACTATTAGACAAGATTAACATCTTCATTGTGAAATAATTTACCTTATAAGCACTTCCACTAGAGACCAGCCTCCTTTCATACAAGTTGGACATTGAAATAACTCTAAGTAGTATCTTAACATGGCTGGTGATTTCCAAGGAGGATGCAGATGAAGAAGAGCTGACAATATATGAAAATATCGACCAGAAAATGTATCTATGTTATCCTATTATTTAAAAATAAAAAGTGAATAAATAAAAATAAACTACTGATACTAAAATACAGTTTCATTAGTTAATTTAGTGTAACACTAGGGCAGTAATTCTAGCCTACCCTTGTGATCTATCCATCAGCAAACATTAACTATCAGGGGTAGTATACATAAAATTTTCCTATCATAATAACTGAGTTCCCAGAGACTATTTTAAAGGAAGTCAAAGTGGAAACTCGTAATATATCATCTCTGAGGTTCCTACAGCACAGTGTATATCTGCTGAGGCATAACCTCAGCATCCTGTAGAACATAGTGGATAGCCTCTTCTCCATAGCTGTGCTAACTGCTGTATAACCATATAGGACTATTACTAAAAGCATTTTAGATCACCATAATCCGGCTTTTATGTTCCTTTCTTTGCAGTCACAGGGGAAAAAAAAAATAAGCTAACATTTATTTTTTCCTTTTTATACTGAACAGTATTTTTTCATATAATATATTGTAACCATCATTTTTAAATATTTTTTGCAAGAGAAAATGATCTTAGACATTTTGAGAAGAAAATAAGCTAAGTCACATAGAATAGTAACTACAGTTAAAAATAGAAAAAGTGTTAACAAATGGGTACTGCATTTCCTAGTAAAACGAGATTAAAGAAAAATCACACAATATTCACATTTTAACATGCTTTGAAAAAAAAAAAGATTTTAAGTGCACAGTGTGTCTTTACCTGTAGAACATTCTCTAGAAGGGCATGGAGAAGGCACACAGGAGGGACATAATGGGCTTGCAAAGAAGAAAGCTCTTCAATGGCTTCTTTAAAGAACTGTCCTTCAATGAGGCTTTCAACTAAGTTTAATATTCCTCTGGGGAACTCAACATTTTTAACCTAAGAAAAAAATAATTTTGTATCTGAACAACAACAACAAGCTGAACTCTGAGATAAGAACTTGAATGAGTAAAGGACTCTAAAATTATAGATGACTCCTGTCCTTACTTCTTGATTGTTGCATGACTTCTGAACCTTTCTGGTCCAAAACAAATAATATGTATTACTGTTATATTTATTATTTTTCATTGCCTTACTGGTAAGATAAAATATTCCTCTAAAAAAGAAAATCTTAAAGAGGAAGTGCTTGCCTTAAAAACTTTAGGATGTGAGTTTGATAACTGGAACCCATATTAAAAAAAAAAAAAACAAAACAAAAGACAGTGGTGCATGTTCTTACTCCTAGTGTTGGGGGTTTGGCAGGTAGACCTTTGGAGCTCACCTGGCCAGCTGAGCATACATTACGAGCTCTAAGCCAACAAGAAACCCTGCTCCAAATACACAATACAGATTTGCAGAATGTGTAAATTAAGGAATCATAATAAAATCCTATGGATGTATATAACTATAACAAAGTATTTCAAAACACATTCCTCATTAGTCAAAATATTTTTCACAATGAAGGTAACTAAAGTTAGTAGCTTATACATGTGAATGTGGAGCTGTGAAAGTTATAATGTTTGAATGGCATAATCTATGACTCTATACATCTTGAGATTTAAAGAAGAAAAATTTCTAAAGACCACATGAATAGAACAATCCATTTAAAAGAACAGTGATGAAGAAAATAAAATATTTTAGAGATGTCAGATCAAGAATTTAACACAAAGCATTAATTATAAGTTATGAAATATGAAAAATAGTATATTTCACCTATCATGAACATCATGTACATTTTTATTCTTCTCAACACTGTTGGCAGCTGTGTTGAAAATTTTTTACAACAGAATAATGCTTCCCCACTCCAGTTCCCACTCCAATGTATTTCACAAGTAATACATTACCACTTCTTTTTTGCCCCAATCATGATCCAATTCCAAGCCCCTTACCTCTACATTGTATACAGGCTGTTTATCTATTCTAATGCAGTTGTATCGGACAGCCTACAAAACAACAATCATATAATTAAATATAACAGTTTAAGCTGAAAAATATATTTCAGCTAAGAAGTACAAAACCTTGGACAAACATTCAAAACAGATTCAAGAACACATTAATAGCTATAATTAATCTGATACTCATTTTGGCTCAAATTAGTAACTTTCATCATTTCAGTGTAATAGCATTCTCATGACTAGAGCAGTTTTATTGCCTCCTCAATTAAAAAACTTCAGGTCATTTTCACTTTAGAAACCTGAAGTTGTCTATTGTCCTTAGCACTTTAACAGTTAAAAATGTAAATGGAAAGACCATTTCCATTTCACTCAAAGAAAGTGAGTCACATTTTCTCAATAATCACACAGAAAACTTCTTGTATTGTTTTCAAATATCTGTACTTGTAAATTTTTAGAAAAGATTATAATGAAAAATATCTGAAACAATCATAAAAAGATAACATCCTAATTCAAAAAAGTTCTACAAAGATAATAAGCAAGGCAATAATAATAATAATAATAATAATAATAATAATAATAATAATAATAATAATAATAATACAAAAAAGTGATTATCAAAGAAATATACAGATTGACCATAAAAGCTATAAAATACATTGAATTTTATTACTAGAAAGAGTTGTAAATTCAGCTGTCTGGCCACTACTGTTTTAAGTGTAAAGGTAGAAAAACAGGAGCTTCTACTTTAACAAGAAAAATGTAAATCATCCATCTTTACACCCGTTCATTAAACTCAAAGGCTGTAGTGCAACGAGCTAGACTGAAGTATCAAGATTACAAATATCCTGCAACACATCACAGCAGCCACCCAACCCCAAATTTGAGTAAAATAAGCCATAATTCAAACACACCAGTCACTTACATCTTAAACTAAACGAAGAACTGTAGTGTAATAAGCTTTACCTGAGCTCTAAATATGTCTTTGTATATCTGCTTTTTTAAGGCACTTTTTACTTCAGTGAGATCCACATTTGTCATGACATCCTTGGTCTTTGATTCTTTGGGACAATCAGTAAGAAGAGAATTCTTCATTTCTTTCTGTATACATGTAAAACACTTTAGATACTGTACTAAAGACATATTTAATACCCATAAAAATATAAGATTATAGAAATCTGCTCACATTTTACTTGCTATTTCTATGTGTGATTTCTCTGTTTGGGTTGTTGACTACTTTTATTCTCAGCATGCCAGTCAAGTACTGGACCACTGAGCTACATCTTTAGTACCTCATAGAATCTTTCATTTGATCCTATCATAAAACCCAAGTCTAAACACAAAATTAATTTAGTTTTTTTTCATGTCTTAATTACAAAACCTTAAGGTTACTTTCTACACTACGTAAGCATACCTAGTGTGTTTTGCTTGCCCATAATACGAGATAAGGCATAGAATTTTCGACTTTATATCAGAAGTTTTCAACATCGAGTGTCATGAGAAGCAATTGATTCTCAAATATTTCAGGTTTTTAATTTTTGTTTTTAGAATGTTCAATCTATCTATATACACACACACTCTGGCTTGAAATGTAAAATAAAGTTACATTTTAGGAAAAGCTTATCTAAGAAAATATGCTTTAAAAGACAATTTCATTATAAATGGTTCTGTATTCCACCAGAGAACTAGAAGATTAGAAACAATATTCACATTTGAAGAGATTTTACAAATTACATAAATAAGTAGTTTAAGGTGGTGTTTTCCATTTAAAAAAAATCTTGGCCTCAATGGTGCTACCTCTAAGAGTAAATGAACAGCTAACAAAAGCCTCAATAATACCAGATGTGAGAAGGCTCTTCTGAGTTGTTGGCCAGGGCTTTCCAGGGGTCTACCAAAATATATGGTCTACTCCTATTGGCCTTGGTTTTCTGCACCCCCAAAAGATGGATGGTAAGTCACTATTGCTGAAGATACTCACACTTCAGAAATGCTATGCTAGCTTGGAAAGGGGGGCGGCAACCAAAAGCCCTATCCAGCTGTAACGCCTACGGACCACATTAACCCAAAGCGTGGCACAATAATCTCAAGGGTGCAGTAGTGGCATGCATACCAAGGTAGGAACTAACCACTCTCTAATTTGACTCAAGACCTACTCAACAAGAGGAATATTGTGCCTGGTACTGGAAATGTAACTAACTACTCAGAACTAGTGAAGTCAGGGCTATCAGATAAGAATCTATACATCTAATTTCCTAAATCAGCATCATCCTTAACAGCGGTAGTTTTCACACCAAATCAAGGAAAACTTTTCCACTGCAGAAAAACTACATGCAATACATATGCAGAGTTGTAGAACTCAGTCCCAATGAACAGACCTACAAAACATACACTTATGGGCTCAGGGGACTTGGAGGAAGAGGGGGACAGATAGATTTTAAAAGTCAGGTAGATCAGAGAGCTTCTGTGAGACTGTGTCGCCTAGTAACATCAGAAGCTACATCCATAAAGTTTAACCAACATGACAACCTAGATATGAGCAGAGCAAGGAAGACTCCATGCCAAAATGGATCGGGGAAAGCTCATGAAGCCTTACTCCTATGGAAAGAAAACAGGCAACTGAGTAAAGCTGGGAGTAAAGCTCGTCTTTCTCTGGCAAATTACACATCATCCAGTGCCAAAATGTCAGCCCTAAAAGCATACATGCAATAAGTAACATTATATGGAACAGGTTATATTTAGCAATACAAATGTACATACAAACCACTATATGTATGTGTGTAATAATTAGTTTTCCCAATATGTGTGTAATAATATGTGTTTCCTAATGTGTGTAATACTAATTCTCCTGAAGGAGAATAAGGACAGGCATAAGACAAGGTTTTGAGGGAGCAAAAGGAAGAAAAAATGTTGTACTCATAATTTCAAGAATTTTAAAAAATGTTAAAAAAGAAATTCATCTCTCTTCCAGATCAGTGTTTCTTTTCCTTTTTGTTTATGAAAGCAACTTAATTTGAGAATCACAAATAGCCCAAATTTCCTTATATATTCATAGAAAAATTTATTATAGTTTTAATATAATATGAACTATAAATACTATACTAAATCAAGAACTGTCCCTAAGTACACAGTTCAATGCAGCAAGCAATTTTGGTAATCCGATTACCTACCTAGGTCCTATACGTCCTGCAGCCTTACCTGACCTCTGCGATGCACATGCCGCTTGAAAGCACTTCCAAATGAGTCATGGTCACCATCAGTTTTGCAATAACCTTTTTTGTTCTTTTTCCTCAAAATGTAACTCCTGTTGATAGTTTTATCCTTTTTCTTAGTTTCTTTCTGTATTTTGACCACAATTAAACCAGAATATGAATTAAATGTTACAAAATCCAAACAAGCTAAAAATGGGGTGACGTGAGGGTGGCTCACAACATAACACATTAATTAATACAGTGCTGCTCTATGCAATAGGAAAAGCTAATCCATTTCCAAATTTATTAGAAAAAAATTAGAGAAACAGTTGAGCACAATGGAGTACAAGTGACAAACATTGTACTCATGACCAATAACTTCATTCCTAAGATTATATTCTCAGCTAGAGAAATCCCTGAGCATTTGTATCAAGAGTCACACAAGAGAATATTAACTGTTCACAGAACTGAACTGTTTGATAATCTCAAAACAGCCAAAAAAAAAAAAAAAGAACAAAAAAAAAACCCCAAAACAAAACAACAACAATAAAAACAACAAAGAAACTCAAATGCTTATGGAAAAAAAAAAGATGAAATTAAGGGATACTTCTGGGTAAAATGGAAAAAATGTATAGAAAATGACACAGGGGTAGCTTAGAGATTGGTAAAGCTGATTCTTTCCCACGCTAATGAGTTCATATCCAGGAATTTTTCTTCCTTTAGAAACATTGTATAAGTTTCTAAACTTATAGCATTTCTGTTATATGTACTTCAAAGGAAATTTCATGACTCATATTGTGTTTGGTAAATTTAGCAAAGATATATATAATAATATGAATATTTTTATTTGTGAAATTTTACCTGATTCTCATGTGCATGTCTTCTGAATGTATTTCTTTTTTTAACAGATTTCATATCTTTTCTGAAGTCTCTAATTTTTTTTCTGTGATGCTCACTCAGAACAAATCTATCATTAACATCTTCATTATGATTTTCCATCTTGTTCTACATGTTTACAAAATTAATTATACTCTAGGTTAAATATAGCTTCAACACAACTAATGGAAGTCATAATAAAAAAAATTCAGGAAAGTAGGTTTGATAAAACACATGAGATTAAATTTAATATGTAAAGTGAATTTCAATACATCTTAGTTACACAGAAAAAACCAGAAAACATGTGCTTCAGTTTGGCATATCTTATAAATAGTAAGTCACCAAGCATACTAAGTTAACCTCCTTATTTAATTCAGAGTACAGAGTATTACAAACTGTTTTGTTTTAGACATGAGAAATTTCTATGTTAATCTTATGTACATCCTCCTAAATTTATTTTAATAATTTATCTTTTGCAAAAATTATCCTCCTTTTCTATGTTTAATAAAAGAGAATCTATTGTGATAACTTCATTATTTTATATCCCTTGATATATATAAAAAACTGTTCATACTGAATTTAGAATGCTTATTTCAGAAACAATTAAAAAGTCCTCTTACTAAACTTGCACACATGATCATAGAAGGGAGTCTAAAAGGACACACAAATATCACTATTCATGGAGAGTCAGAGCAAAGACGCTAAAGTATTTTAATTTAGGAAAGCTTTAGCTAAGCTTGATATGTATGATTTCTTAAGAAAACTTACAAATTTCCTAGCATGACTACAATGAGTTTCTTTTTATACAAAAAAATATTTCAGTTTAGACTAGTAATTACTGAGTTACTGCTTTGATAAACTAACAAAATAGGCCCTACTAAATATAATATAAAATGAGCATTTGCTTACTACAGTAGAACTAATAATGCTTTTTTTGTTGTTGTTTATCACTAATGTCTGAAACACTGCACAAGAGTTGCAGTCTGCTATTTTTTCTTTTTTTTTTTTTTTGCTGTTGTCTGATTTTAGTGTTAACACAAAATAATTTGTTTTAAACTTTTTGTTCTCGTCATGCAAGTTATGCACTTGATTTTAGATTGCTTATGAACAGAGTGCTCACAGGCAAGGAAAAGTTTTATGAAGTTCATGCTGTATTAAGCATACAGGAGTTTTAAGTAATCGGCATGTGCTGAGAATATACCATATTTGAGGCACTCTACATTTCTGTAGGAACATATGCATTATTTCAAAGCGTCCTAAAGCAGAGACCTACAAAAATTTTCTAATATGCTCAACTCTCACAGGGCTAAAAATATAGATTGACACACTAGCTTTTGAATCTCAAATATTTCTACCAAGAATGAGCCATCTTCTAACGTTCATTAGGAAAAATCAGAGAAATTCTACCTCATAAAAATTTACCTGGATTCTATACATGCTCTCTCCAGAATTTTTTATTTCTAGAAATCCTGTGTCTTTCTTAAAATCTTTGTTTTTGTCTTGATTGCAGTATTTGGTCCATCCAGAGGTAATTTGGTAATCTTCGTCATTCTGAATTTCTTTCTGTATGTGAATAAAAAAAAATTTAGGTCATTAAATAATTGTAATAATGTTATTATGCAGACCTATTATATATATATTTTATGGACTTCAACTTAATACATAACTGCATATTACTTTCTTAGTCAAACCACCATTGCTAAACAAAAGCTAGTAAACACTGGTAAAATATTTCAAGGAACCAATCAATACTTACAGCAAACTTTCCAAATTTAGTTATTTCTATATATCACAATAACCAACAACTTCCCCCAAAGAATGCTTTGTCTAGGAACTATTATTTATTGATGAATCAAGGACAAAATGTTTTATATATCCCTGTAAACATTAAGATTACAACTCAGATATTAAAAACTGTCCACTATTGCACAGACTGTTGTTTAGTAAAAATCCTATTGGTGAGTCATCAAGGATAAACACAATTTATCTGGTCCTGTGCTAGTAATAGTTACAATTCAGGGCTGGTGAGAGCTCAGCCAGCAACCTATAGGCTATGAAAGCATGAAAACCTGGATTCAATTCCTAGAACCCAGATAAATAAAATAGCCTTGTCTGTGGACACACTCATAATCCCAGTACATGGTAGGTGGAGACAGACAGGTTCTTGGGGCTTGCTGGCCAACTGGCATAGTTTACTTGGCAAGCTCAAGAAACCCTGCCTCCAGAAACAAAAATCAAAGAAAGGACAGAAAATACAAATAAAACAAAGACCACAAAATAAACCACAGCAAAAAAAATAAGGTGGATGGTTCCCAAGGAATACTCTCCAAGGCTAACAGCTAGCCTCCACACTCACAGTCAAAAGTGGACCTACACACACCTACACACATACAACACCCCTACAACATATAATCCAGACTTGTGAAGACAATCTAAAATTGTCAAGTTGTGGATAGACTTTACTTTTTCAGCCTTTTATTGATAAGGTTTCTCATTTGCAATATAATTCAGCCCCTATCTTACAGAAAAGTAACAAAGAGGATACCTTTACCTCTCTTGATTACAAACAAAGAATTTTTTTCATAAAAGAATCTGAACTGAGTTTATACACCATTTTTTGAGTGTTTGAAAAATATCCATGTAACTATATACGTAATGGTGAGCTCATGGTGCCCTGTGCAAGTGTCATATTTTTCACAAAAACAATGGAAGGCTAACATATTTTTTTCACTTTTTGAAATTTATTTGTATTTTTACAAATTATTCACTTTGTATCCCAGCGGTAGCCCCTTTCCTTATCCCCTCCCAACCCCACCCTCTCTCCCTGATCTCCTCCCCTCGCCCTCCTTCTTCACTGATAGGGGGGGTCCCCCCCCCCCCCATCTAACCCTAGTCTATCAGGTCTCATCAGAAGTGGCTTTATTGTCTTCCTCTGTGGCCTGGTAAGGCTGCTCCCCCATCAGGGGGAGGTGTTCAAAGAGCAAGCCACTGAGTTCATGTCAGAGACAGTCCCTGTTCCCATTACCAGGGAACCCACTTGGAGACTGAGCTGCCATAGGCTACATCTGTGCAGGGGTTCTAGGGGTTCTAGATTATCTCCATGCATGATCCTTGGTTGGAGTATCAGTCTCAGAAAATACCCCTTTTGTTCTGTTGGTCTCCTTGTAGAGCTCCTGACCCTCCGGGTCTTCCTATCTCCCCCTTCTTTCAAAAGATTCCCTGCACTCTGCCCAAAGTTTGGCTATAAGGAAGATTAACATCTTAGGTGACAATCATAACAGGCTCTAACCTGCCTGCCACACTGCTTCCCTTACTTACTGGGGCACCCTCTGCAGGTTAAGACTCCCCTTCAGCATGCTGCAATTTTGTAACCTGAGAACAATCCTAAAGAGCAAGTGACTGAATTTCTTTATCAACTCAAAGAAGTTAAAGTAAACCAGAAAAATAAGAACTTCTCCTCCTCCCTATTAAAGAATCAGCCTAACTGCATAATTTCTTTTTGAAACAATTTGCAGCAAAAAAATGTTTATTTTTTTTAACTTCACATGCTTGTAAAAAGATAAATCCCTAAGCCCAGAAAAATAAATGTTTAAAATCAATCTTAAATCCAAAAATTTCAGTTAAGCAAGGGAACATGTATTATTACTTACAAAAAGAGCAGAAACATAATGTTTACTTTTGTGTCCCTTTCAGTAGCTACTCAGTGATCTACACATTAGGATGTATTATACAAGTACTCTCAGTTAAGGACTGAAAAATTTAATGTAATATATAAAAAATTTAAAATGAAACAATGTTTATACAGCAAAAGATAAAGGTCAGCATAAGGCTTTGGGTTCTACTCCCCAGGCTAATGTAAATAGTAAAATGTAAAAACCACATGATGGATGTGCTGGCTCCACATCACTGCTCCTGGTCTTGATTGTCACCCATGGTACTGGCACCTGAAAAATACTGGGATCCTGTGCTGCGACTGGGTTGTACTTTCAACAATACCCTCTCCTGGGCTCTCTTCTGCTACACAGTGCCAAGCCTCAGTTGCTCTCCATGACCCCTTCAGGCCTTCAAAACCCGTGCCACATGGGTGGCTCTTACCCTACCTAGTTCAGCTGCCAGGACAAGGTAGACCCTCACTCACTTCTGAAACACACTTCTGGAAGTCTTCTGAAACCCTTTCAAGAAGACTTTGCCTCAATGATGCTGGTCACTTCTTAATCACAGCTGATTATGCAGTCCCAGCTTACTAGCATTCAGTGTCCCAACAAAGCACAGGTTTTACTTTACTGCTTCTGGTTTCTTGTTATTCATAGCTGAATATTCAGCTCCAGGTGACGAGATACCCTAGATTCTTCATGCAAAACGCTGGGTAGGGCTGGGTAATTGTTGTGTATGCCTTTAATCCCAGCACTTTGGAGGCAGAGGCAGGTGGATCTCTATAGGCCATCCTGGTCTACACAGCTAGTTCCAGGACAACCAGGGCTACACAGAGAAACCCTGTCTTGAAAAAATGAAAAAGAAAACCAAACAAACAAAAAAACAAACAGACAAAAAGCCGGGCTGGGTCTTTGCTTCCCTTTGGAACTTCACAAGGCAGCCTCCACCATCTGACTACTCGCAACATTCTTATCTTCCAAGCTAACTGAGCTCTCAGCACACAATGGCTTCTCTATCCCCAAGTTCCAAAGACCTTCCACAATCCTCCCCAGAACAACACAATCCATTTGTCACAGCAATTCCCTATACCCCCGTTATCCCCATCTTGTTTTAGTCGGAATTACTAAGGTTCTGAAGAAACAACATGAACCATGACAAAAAAAGCAACTTGGGAAGGGCAGAGGCTTATCTCACTTACAGTTCCATATCATCAAAAGAAATGAGGACAGTTATTCAGGAAGGGCAGGTGCCTGGAGGCAGGAGCTGATGTATCAATAAACTTTGCATCCTTGCTTATCTGTATGCAATACCTTGCCTCCTTCCTCAGCTATATGCAAAAACCCCACCTCACTGTTCAACTGTCTCTAAAAAGTGCTACGTTTCAGGAGCACTGAGGCATCTCCATTGGAGAGCTGACACCCCAATTCCCAGCTTTTCTGTGCCCATCTCTCTGACATTTCTTTGCTTCGATGACTGCAGTGAAGTACAAATCCCTGCAGCCATATAGAGATGTGGCTTCCTGAAGGACGACATCTGAAGATGATCTCTTGCCCAAATACATGCATACACACACACACCTACACACGTGTGTGCACACAGTCCTGCACAGGTTCAAGCCAGACAATATCTCAGTATTTGGATAGGAGTAGGCAAATAGTTCCCAATGCTTAGTTGCAGAGATATTGACAAATATTAGGTACTGAGAAAAGAAGAGCAAATTTTTCTGTTAAATAAACTGTACTCCATGGTAAGCCCAATACCAAGAGTAGGTGGTTAACAAACTGGGCTCCAAGCACTGAGAGAGGAAAGAAGAAAGGAAAGAAAGAAGGAGGTTAAAGAGAGAGGGGACAGTGAGAGAAAGTACACCAAGTAGGTAGGTAGGGAGATAGAAAAGGACGTGCAAGGATTTCATAAGGTGAATATGATCAACATCACGATTTCTCAAAAGAAAAAATAAAATATTTAAAAAGAAAAAAAGGTCAGTATAAACCCTTCTCTAAGCTAACAATACGTATCAATATTTTCTTTATTATTCATTATTTAAAAAATTACTTTAAGCATATTCTTTTTTTATTCCTTATTTATAAGTAATTGTTTAGCACCAACTAGGTTTTAAGCATTGTTAGGTTTTTCACTGTACCAATTATTTGGAAAGAAGTTCCTACCTAAGCTATTTTATACAGTATAGTGCTATACATCAATGTTTAACTGAAAGCCCACTGATTCCAAAAGTGTATTACTTAGATATAAATCAGCATCACAGTGGCAATGAAATTTAGCCTACCTTGTTTCTTTCATATGTCTAACTTAGTTTTCTGTCTTGGATTAGGTGTACATACTCTACTCTTTCAAGGTATAACTCTAATATCCCGCCAAGGCATTTGTTATTGAATAAAAGAATTTATGAGACTGTATTATGGGATTAAAATACAGCCTCCTGATGAGACCTAATTGACTAGGATCAGAAGGAAGGAAAAGAAGACCTCCCCTATCAGTGGACTTGGGGAAGGGCATATGCATGCGGAGGGTGGAGGGAGGAATTGGGACAGGAGGAGGGAGAGAACCACAGGGGGGATACAAAGTGAATAAAGTGTAATTAATAAAGAAGTTAAAAAAAAAAAGGTAACACACTGGCTGCTCAGTTTCCAAGTGGGTTCCCTAGTATTCGGTACAGGGATTGTCTCTGACATGAACTCAGTGGCTGGTTCTTTGATCACCTCCTCCTAGGGGTTAGAGCTTTGCCAGGCCACAGAGGAAGATGATGCAGCCAGCTTTGATGAGACCTGATAAGCTAGGTTCAGATAGAAGGGGAGGAGATCCTCTGTCAGGGGACTAGGGAAAGGGCATGGGGGAGAAGATGGAGGGTGGGTGGTACATACGGGAGGAGATGAGAGAGGGGGCTGCAGTGTGGATACAAAGTGAATACATTGTAATAAATTAAAAAAAAAAAAAAAGAACCTGAGGAGTAAAGTAACAAATACTATAGTGTTCTGATAGCTTAGTTTTTAACATAGTCTTACAACTTTAAAAAAAAAACAATAAAAACAGTGCCCTATTAATATAGATCATCCAGCTCAGGCTAGCCTGGAAATCCTCATGTAGCTTTGACTGGCCTTGACATGTGACCTGCTACAGCTTCCCAAATTCTGGGATCCCAGATGTGTGACACCATGCCTGGATATACCTTGATGTTTTGGGAGTGTGTCAAGAGCTGTGACTCCAAGCAGCCGGCTTTGATATTTAAATCTCGGTGGAGAGATGGTTTTTAGCAGGCCTTTACTAACGGCAGAGAACTTGCAAGTCCATCTCCTTTTGTTTGTGACAGCAGGTGGGATAGCTTGTGAGGGTCACACCTCTTCCTCTAGCTCCTTGTGCAAATTAACCTATTGTTCTGAGATGTTTCTACTCTGGCTCAGAAACTCTACAATAAAAAGACAGGCCGACAATTAGGGCAAGAGAAGGCTGGAGACAGAGAAGAAGGCTGGAGACAGAGAAGAAGGCTGGAGGCAGAGGAGGCAGGCAGAGACTTGAGGCTTGCTTGCTGGCACTGCTTGCTGCAGCTGCCTGCCTTTTGCCATGGCTGTCGAGTCTGGACCTTTAAAAAGTTTCCTGTGTGCTGTCTGTTCGTTTTATTAATTTTAATCCTCACGCCCAACTCAAGAACCGTTCGACTCTGCCCGGCTGACCCCGCAGGAGTGGGGTGGGGTAGGGATTTTTAACTTTTCTTTTTGGGATTACTTTCGCCTTTCTCCTCTCTCCAAACCCTCCTTGCTTGTTTTTACATTCATGGCCTTTTTTTTTTTAATGCACATAGATGTATGTGTACATATTCCTAACTAAACCTGCTCAGTCTACATAATGCTACTTGTATGTGTTCAGGGTATTGAATAACTAACTGCTGTGCTCTTCCAGGAGAAAATTATTCCTCCCATTCCTTAGTTGCCCTTAGCAATTTGTGTACATCTGAAGTCTAGCGGGCTTTCACCCATGAAATTTGGCATGTCTACTGCTTGTGCATGTTAGGTGGACATGCTGATGAGACTATATGGGTGTAGACTGTATGGGTTAGTTAGTTTCAGTTGGTTCTTGTCACCAATGATTGAAAGTCATTCTTAATTATATTTAGAGCTGGATTATATCTGATTTATACTGAATATGTACAGGCTTGTAGCCATTATTCCACAGAGAGCAACACCTAGGGATGAAGCATTTGCATCCGTCTAGGCATTGTAATAATCTAGAGATAATGTAAAGTATATAGGAGGGCTGATACAGATACCATATAAATCCTATGCTACTTTAAATAAAGTATTTGAGAGTAGAGCATCTGTGAAATTGTGGTATCCAATGGGAGTTTAGAACCTTTGCGTTGGGAACTGCACAGGGATGACTTCATTACATTCCTTAGGTGCTTTATAAAAATAAACATTCTAAAATTCCTCATACTTATTTTACTTACCTCTAAAAGAAAATCCCCTAAGTACTGAATTGGATAAAATGGAGCCTTAAAGTTCTCTTGTTCTTTCTCAGCACTGATTCTTGCATTACTGGCAATCACATGAGTTATCCCACTTGGAGAACTTTTTGGTAAAATGACATTTGCCTTTCCAGCCTCCAAAACTCTAAATAAAAATGTAGATGATGAAAAGAAAAGAAAAGCATTAGAAAAACTGAGTTCATTGAGTTAATTACCAATACTTCCTACAGGATAAGAATTTCCTGAAAAAAAAAAAAAAAAAAAAAAGTTCATTTCTTTAGGTAACTGAAGACTACAGAAGTTTAACACATAATAATTTCCTCAAACCTATATTTGTCTACAACAAATATTTAAGAAATTTACTATTCTTTCTACATTTCTGTTTCTTTATATGAATCATGAATATTGAAGCAGCTGATATGAACAAGTCATAGCCAAAACAACGTAAGCTAAAATAACAATGAAAAAAGTTGGGAAATAGTTATCCTGAAAGGCAAAATACACCTTCAAAGAAATTCCTATGAACTTCAAATACATACACAGATACAGACAGACACACACAATAGGTGCCAAGACTCAAACAAAAGATTGCCCTTAAAAATGTCCATTCTTGTGCTAGAGAGATGGCTCAGAGGTTAAGAGCGCTGGCTGCTTTTCCAGAGGTCCTGAGTTCAATTTCCAGCAATCACAAAGTAGTTCACAATCATCTACAATGAGATATAGTCTCATGTAAACAGAACATTGTACACATAATAAATAAATAGATCTTTAAAAATAAATAAATAAAAATATTAGTAAAAAAATGTCCAGTCTTGCCAGGCAGTGGTGGTGCATGCCTTTAATCCCAGCATTTGGGAGGCAGACATAGGCAGAGTTCTGAGTTTGAGACCAGCCTGGTCTACAGAGTGAATTCCGGGAAATCCAGGGCTACACAGAGAAACCCTGTCTTGAAAACTAAAAAGCTTAGTCTTTGCCTAGGCTTTGTGGCATGTAACTAGAATACAGAATTTGAAGGAGGGGCAGAAACATCCTAAATTTGAAGTGATCCAGCAGTGAAATGAATAATTTCTAAGCCAAGCTGGGATATAAGTGAGATCCTATTTTACCAAACCAAACCAAACCAAACCAAACCAAACCAAACCAAACCAAAC